TCCGTGTCACGATTATCATGTTTGGATGTGTCTTTTACCTTCGTCTTCTATGCACGTCACGTCATACCAAATTTAGCATATGTGGAGCTAGCGAAACGGCCTCGAGCATGCTATCGGCGTGGTATGTTGTCATGTTCTTACAAGACACGCGTGTCAGGATTATCATTTTTGCACCAGTCATATATTTCGTCATCCATTGACGTCACCTAAGACCAAAATAGGTATATGTGAAGCTCGCAAAACAGCCGCGAGCGCATCATGAAGGGCCCTGTCTACTCCAATGTAGCGTTGACGCGCGCGCATGACCAACGCGCCATGTTGACATGGCGCAGTTAACTGCGCCACGTCAACGCGCCATGTCAACGCGCGCATGTAGCGCGCATGATAGCATGTAGCATTGACGCGCGCGCACGCTCGGCACAGCGACGCTACGTTAGAGCACGCCAGGCGCGCCCACCGTCCATCGGCGCGGCCCGACGGCAACCGGCGCGAAATGCGACATGCTGCAATTCACACCGATGCGTTACCCAGACAACACTGCGTCTCCCTCTTTTCGTGATGGAGGGACGCCGGACGCACTGAAACGCGCATGCGTCAAAGCAATGCAGCGCAGCGCTCCTGCGAGTATATTGACAGGACCGGCGCCTGGCACGGCCACGCGAAATGAACGCCGGCGAGCACGCGCACCACGTCACGTGGAAATGTATTCGCATCTTGAATTTTGCATGTAGTCACATTCTCACATGACACGCATCTCATAATTATCGTGTTTGCACCAGTCACATACCTTCGTCATTCATTGGTATCAGTTAATACCAAATTTGGCATATGTGAAGCTAGCGAAACGGCCACAAGCGCATCATCAGTGTGGCATGTAGTCATGTTGTTACATGACAGGTATGTGATGATTATCATGTTTGGATGTATCATTTACTTATGTCGTCCATGCACGTCACCTAATACCGAGTTTGGTGCATGTGAAGCTAGCGAAATGGCCGCGCGCGCATCATGAGCATAGCATGTAGTCATGTTGTTACATAACACGCATCTCATGTTTATCATGTTTGCATCCATTAACGTCCCGTAGTAACAAATTTCGTATAAGTGAAGCTAGCGAAACGGCTGCCAGCGCATCATGAGCGTGACATCTAGTCATGTTGTTACATGACACGCATGATTATCATGTTAGGGTCTGTCGCTTGTGTTCGCTGTGCAATCATGTCATACCATGCCTTTCGCAACATGCCTAGTGAACGAAACCACCGCAAGAGCTCCAGGACCATGAAATGTTAATCATGACATTCATGACATCCATGTCAAGATTTTTATGTTACGACTAGTCAAATACTTTCTTCATACAATCAAGTTATGCCATACCAAGTTTGCAACGATACCAATATAGAAACGGCCAGGAGAGCTGAAAGTCGTACGTGGCTAGATTGATAGAATGCGCTCAAAGTCGCCGAAGCTCGCTAAGAAATGCTTCGCATTTAAAAACTAAAGCATTAGGAGTAGTATAATTCTCTCTCGCTCCCGCAACAGTCACATAGCAAGTGCAAATTGTAAGCGTTTTATCTTGGAATGAGCTATTATCGCAGTCCTTTAAAACAACTTCAGATTCAGGGGATATCGCTTCAACGAAAGAGTCATGATCGCGACCTTAGCCGGAAAAATTACGGCAATTTCGTGTGTATAGCTAGAAAGCTTGACTAGAGCAAGAAGGCTTCCAGTGAGGCTATATGCAAAGTTCCGCAAAGCGCATAGGGACAGCTTAGCGCTGTCGCATTGTAGAGTACATAGTACTGTGAAGTGTCGAACGTTTTTTTTTTTTTCCTAAGCACGCGTGTTCATGTATTTATTTTTCAAGGTAGAGCTGCTCCCTGCTTTCCCCTCATATATTATAAGCATTGCTCTAAATTATTCCCTGTCTCTCTAAACACAAGGAAAATAACAAGCACAAAAGATACTCAAATCAATCAGGTTGTCACATTGCCTGTTAGTCGAATAGAAATTTAGTGTCGACGGAGCAGTAATTGTGAAACGAATGCGCTTTCGTTTGAAAAGTTCAACCTTCCTCTTTGGGCATCACCTGTCACTCTTTTTGCGTGACTACAAGATGCACAATTGTGGCTTTATTTTCACTTCCGACTTCCACGATTTTTCTTGACTTCTCGTTCTACCATCCGATTTTAACAAGGCGGTTATATGTCTATGAGAGAGACGGACATTTTAATGAAGCGGTGGAGATTTTGGCCTGGCTATACGCCTCACATGCAACTCCAGGCGCTGGGTGATAACTTTGTTATATACACTGACAAACACATCACACGTGCAGTCACTCACACGCAGACTACTTTATCTACAAAAGAATGAAATGTATCAGTGTTCTGGCATCTCAAATCGCAACAAAGAGTGGTGAATACACTCGATATTAAGTACGCAGTAAAGAATAAATGCGAGGAAATGGGTGTTTATCTGTGAGCGCACTTAATGGCCCACCCACGCATTGATGATCTGACCGATGAACGTTGCAGAATCGCTCCGAGTGTATGCTCGCGGTATGGTGCCCGTAAGTTTTTCTGAAGGTGGGCTTCGCACAGTGGCGCGACAGCGTGAAGAAGAAGCACCAGCTCAGGCCCGTGTACGCGACACAAGGTGTGACCGCGTAGCTGGTGGGACCACATGTCTACCAGTTTCATTTCCAGGTTTATGAAGCCATTGTTATTTAATTAGTGTAAGAGATCGGATGAGCTTCGTAGGTGCACAGATTTCCTCTCTTGGAACACTTTGTCTCTCTTTTCGCAAGTTTACGAGTTTCAGATGTGATACCGCCACCAGCACTGCCACCATTACTACTACTACTATTACTACTACTACTACTACTACTACTACTACTATTACTACGTCTAATAATAATAATAATAATAATAATAATAATAATATAATAATAATAATAATAATAATAATAATAATAATAATAATAAAGGGTATATGTTGATGTAGACGTAATGAGTCATTAATATTCAATTTTCATGCACAAGAAACATGGAGACATACAGGAATCACGGCGGAAACATGCTGAGAGCTGCCACCTAAAGAGGTGCAGCGCCTGCCTTCTCCATCAGGAAAGGAGATACATGAGTATACGAAGAGAGGAAGAAAGAAAAAGGAAACAAAACAAAACAACTAGCCGAGACCTAAACACAAATAAGTAGCCACAGAAAACGTCTATAAACGTGACGTCTAATTCGTTTTGTTTAAGAAAGTTGGCAGAGCTAGGCGCGCCTTGTCATGCCGAGCAGCGCAACCTTCCGGGAATGGGCAATCATCAAGGTTCGGGCACTTCAGTAGAATGAGTCCATATTCTTTTGTCAGCAGCGCTCACTGTGTAATGACTGTGGGACATCCTAAATTTGTTGCTCGGGTGTTTTGCAAGAGGCACAAGACGTAAATAACGTGCTATGCGCACGTCCTCGACGGTATAATCGTTCGCGCACTAATACACCTACATCTTAAGATATATATATATATATATATATATATATATATATATATATATATATATATATATATATATATATATATGGCTTTGTAACCACGAACGAGTCTAAGACCATAAGAATTTGAAGGGAACAATCCGCCTGTGACGCGCTCGTTTGGTTATCGGGCGTCAAACATGCACTGTCAAACATAAATGAAGTTTCTTATCAGTCACACTCTTAGGTGCAACTTGAAGCGAGGCGATTAGCCTCATGAGTCCTTGAAATTCCCAGATGTGGAGGTATCCACTAGCGAACCATGGACACCGCACGAGAAATAGTTCCTTTGGCAGATTGTAGGGTAATGCATGTAATAACTAAACTACGTTGCTGAAAAAACATAGTTCAGTTTTAGCGGGTTGTGTGTTCATTCGGAAGCATTTGCACACCCGTCCGCAAGTCGTTGGCGAACACCGGCAAGTTGGAAGGAGAAGAACCTACCGGCATTTACAACACGTCCACGTTACTTGTCGATTTTATTTGAATGAGAACGTGATACCTCGCAAATAAAAAAAAAGAAGCAAATGCCAGTTACACCCGAAGGGTCTGCTTGATATTATGTCGGCACGCATAGGTAATTCAGACTTTCCGTTGCAGTGATTCTGCATGCTGCGTTGATGCAGTCGCAACGCAGCATTCCATGAATCGAATCCCAATCCCAGGCGTCCTGCTCCCAGCACAGTTTACTTGTTAAGCTCATTACATACCGCGCTGCAATTTACATCACAGACACACTCCGTCGCACTTCGTGATCGTTTTCTTTTTACGTTACGCAGTCGGTGCATCGCAAACCTATTAGTAATATATTCACTCCTCAGACCTGCAGAAACATTACGTGTGCCCCGAAACACTGGTCAGCATAAATGCCTGCTCGCTGCAGCTGTATGCAAATGTCACATTCCACAGCCATCTCATAAATTCATCTTTCTGGACTCTCACTCTTGTGACGTCTGAGTCCCTGTTTCACGTGTGGTATTTGCGAATTAGCATCGTTCTTGCTGTATATACGCTAACTCGAACAATACCTGTACTCGGTAACAAGTTCATGTGAAATTTATGTACCTCCAGCTGGGGGCTTCGGTGCTTGCTGCTACAACTTCAAGTAAACCAAGGTGAATACAAAGGGTCGCGTTTTCGCAGGCTGATGGAGTTTGCTGAAAAGTGATAGTATTTCTGCGCACCTCTATACGCCGCTGCAGCAGCCGAGGATCGCGGCAACAAGAGTTTGAACAAACACTATAAAGGCAGCGAGCACTACAAGCAAAGCGGAAACTTAATGTCGCAAGGGTGAAACGTTGACGCATCCCTGTGTTTGAAATGAACTGAGTGAAATACGCCGTACAATTATGAGTTATTTTCACCTTACAGAGAATTGTGCCCCGCATCATCGTCATGCTTATAGTTAGTGCTGGAATATACAAAAAAGTTCAAAAGATTTTCTTCTCATTTTTTCATTTGCAGGATGGAGGACAAAATACCGGTTCCGCGATGGAAAAAAGCACTCAAGCCTGTCCTGGCCACCGCCACACCCTTGGTCCTGCTGCCCATACCACTCAGCATAGGAACCGACGTAAGTTTTCGGCATTATGCATTCGGAATTAGATACAAAGCCTTTTCAAGGTGCAGTTTTTATGCATGTTGCTTCAAAGTTAAGTGACTTACACAGGAATCGTTGCTTGGTTTCAGTAGTCGCTATATAACACCTCGGTGATGCGATGACTGCTCGTAGGGATTTCGGGGTGACACGAATTTTTATTTTGTCCCGGCCAAGGCCCATCGACCTGCAGTATAATGAAATGAGGTTGTTTCCAACCGATTTTTAAACCCCGCGACGTTAGATGCGAACGTAACGCTACCGCTCAAGTAGCAACCGGTGCGCGATGCTGCGGAAGACACGAGCAGTGCGCGCAAGCGCTGGAATCAAAGCGTAGGCATGCGCGCCGCACCACCAGTTTCGTTGGAATCACCGTATATAAAACTACTTTTTTCTTCCACCACCGACAATATAAACCTTCTTCGTAGCGCCAGGTAACGCCCGAGATTTCGCGCGTGAATCTCGGAGGCTCCTATGCGCCTTCGTGTACTTTCACATTGAAAGAACAAATGGTGTTGGCGTCACGCTTTTTTAACTGCTTCAACGCGTGCTGCTGTCGTCGTACAGTATTGGCACGTGCCTTCCACGTCGACGCAAGTCATTGCCTGTCGCATCAGACGTTGTACGAAGGTGGACGACGACCGAAAGAGGAAGTGGACCGTCTTTGCAAAGATGCCAGGCCGTATGGTGTCAAGCACGATTGTTTGGGTCGCACACAACCTGGGAATTCTCGTATTTTTCAGGCGTGGTTGTAAATATCCCGAAAAACGTCCCTAACCTCACCATGATAAAAAACTACTAACAAAAAAGGACAAAGGTTCTAAAATTTTGTGGCCTTCATCTATCGCGTGCAAAGCACTCTTCAAGTCGATTTTGCCGCAGTACTTTTGTGTAATGCAAAAAAGCGCACACAGATTAGAGAGGTGCCATTGGTTGTCGCGGGTTACAGCACGGCTCATTAGCAGCGATGGGCTTACGATCCAAATCATAGGTCCCTCCCGTACATCAGGAAGGAAATGCAGCTACACAATATTGCGTAATATGTACTGATGCCGTTGGACAAGCTCACGCAATGAAAAAAAAAGTACACCCGCACGCATGGGGCGTATATTTTTTATGATCGCTAGTATGATCATAAACGTCTAAAACTTCACTGGAAATCATCAACAGATTTTTGTGACATTTAGGCAGCTTGGAAAATACTGAATTAAAATGTACTCCAACTTCTTTTGTCGCATGCTAATTTTCTGTATTTTCTGGTGATACGAATTTCGCATGATATGATTTTTTGGATGACCGCGTTAGATTCTTATTACCGATCTTTTACTGCGTTTACTCGGACGTTGTCTGACAGGGCTTCCTATTAGCCCCACAACAGCTGTATTTAGATCACCAGCTGTCATTGAATCACGCCTACGTCAGCAGGCGCTTCGATATTACATGTCTTTCTAGGTGGCATTCACCCATATGTTGTCGAAATTACTCCTGTGAATGCATGAATTTTTTTTATCCATAGTCGGCTTGCCGAGCTTATAGTAAAATACGCCAACCATGCGGAATACCTGATTATTCCTTCGTAATGTCGCGTGTTTTGCGAGTATGGGGCAGCGCGACTCAACAAAAAAGATAATACAATAAGAAAAAAAAGGCTTGGACTGTTCGACTATCTTGCATCCGTAGCAAGCAGCTCGTATATTTGAAGATGTGACCATTGGCTTATTTTTTTAGGGGCGAAGCTCCTTAGGGTGTGGGTCTGTCCTTCCTCCGATGGTGTATGTAGCCACTGGTGGTACATACCCGAAAGAGCGGTCCTTAGAATGTCCGCTGGATGGCGGCGCTTGTATATGACGAATACATGATGAAAATATGTGAGACGGCTGTACTTAGAATGTTCACTAGATAAACGGATGGATGAATGGACGGATACAGATAGACGGATGGACTGATGGACGTACAGACGGGCAGACAGACAGAGGGGTGGACGCACGGACGGATGTAAGGACAGACGGAAGAACGGACGTACGGATGGACGCACGGAGGGACGCACGGACGGACGGACGGACGCCCCGATGGTTACACGGATGGACGGACACATGGACGGACGCACGGATGGACGCATGGACGAACAGAAGCACGGACGGATTGACGAACGCTTCGCCCCACCAATCATCATTCACTCCGTGGATATGCTGTAATATTTTCACCTTGTCGTGCTCTTCCTTACCATGGAACCACACAAATTGTTGCGCTGTTCTTCACTCCGATGTCGAGCATTTCGTGTATATGTTTTTCAAAGAAGTATGTTCGCAGGAAGAAGAGGTATCGAATTGAGTAACAGACATCGAACTGAACGTTCTCACGAAGGTAGTGGTCTTTGTCAGGGCAGAAACCCTTTATTCCATTGCCATTTGAATACAAATCCTCTTGTCGCAAAGCTCATTTCCTCGAAATTGCTGTAACTTTCACAAAATGCGAATGCTTCCGCGAACCGTTTCTTATAAATCAGTCTAGTTCAATCCCTTTTTTTTAACCTACCGTTCAGCTCGATGGTCAGCAACTAAAGCACATGGACAACGTATGTCTCCCACCATGTTTTGGCTTGAAGGCTGGAGGACAGTCGTCCATATGTGTGTCAAGGCGTTCACGTTCTGCTACAATGAGTGCGCGGATCTTCACTGCGGCCGTGTCAACCTAATCTTGAGATCTTTTGAAATGCTGTCGCGAGGTGCATTCGCGTTAACATTATTGCGTTCATTGCAGGCTGCCTGGGTTGCCTTTGTGACGCTCTGGATGGGCATCTACTACGTCGTGGAGCCGGTGCCTCTGTCAGTGACATCATTACTACCTATAGTTTTACTACCCTTCCTGGGAATACTGTCAACCGAAGAAGTGGCATCCTTTTACCTTAACGTAAGTTTCGCTATGAACGCCTACTTAATGCGCGTCACACTGGCAGCTGCGTCCCGTCGGAAAGCTGAACATTTTTTTCACGGTTATGCTCGTTAGTCTTAGGATTGTTTTTGTTCGGTGTATATGCAGACATGCTTGTAAATAGTACGGTGACGTCGGTTCTGACGGGTTAGAGTAGGTTGCCGATAACAATCTCATGCTGAGAAGCCTCCTTGATACGGGTTGTCTCTTAAATATTTCTCTCTCGAAGAGCGAAGAAATAAGGAATGGATGTTATTGTTAAAATGAGTCAGCTTTTAGTCTATGGGTTGTCGGACTCGTAGCTCACATGGCTCTGAAATGGTGCAAGCTCTGCGAGCACTGCCATTAGCGTCTACGTTATGAGGATTTGCTATATGGTTGAATGTTCATTCGCAGTAGGCTATGAATGCTTTCCTATGACTGACTTCAGCGTAAGCTTGAAGTTACCGCTGTGGTGCTTTTGAGGTCTTTGACATCGAAAAGCGTGAATATTTAATGATCAAACTCTAAATAGGGTCATAATTCCACTACATATTTAAGTAGTTCGTTGATTAGTTAATGCAAGTCTGTCATTATTCTGAAGACCAACTTACCTGTAAGTATATAAGCGACAGCAGGCGTCAGAAGCAGCCAGGAGAGAAAGGGTACTTGAAACCATGTAGAAAGCCCACCAACGCTCATGGTTCGTGCCATCGGCTTCGGTAATTTAAGTCAATCGGTGTGCACTGATGCATAGCGTGGCTCGCTGGAAATGTGAAACGTTTACAGTATACGAGGTGAATGTTGCACGCAAGCAACGTATGTGGCTGCGTGATTATATTGCTTATGAGCGACATTTGTTAGAAGAGTGATATTGCAGGGTCTCTGTACCGCTTGGTATTACAACCTGTAAGTGAAATCGGAACTATGGAGCCTGGTAATACAGGGCAGTTTCGTCTAAACATGGGTCCCTGAGATCGCCCATGTGGAAGTGCAATCAGCTAATGCGGCGTGCGGCACAGTCGACCATAAGAGGATTTCTTGTCGAATCTTCTACCGTAATACCGTTAAGCGAAGACACAGTAAATTGTCGAATGTTCCTTGCTGAAAGAATTGGGTAGGGTGGGGATGTCAGCACTTTTTATTCTACAGCGTGAGACCACACAGCCACAAACTTTTACTCAACCAGACATGTCACGTCATTGTTTGAAGTGCATGACTAATGTCAATGCAGGTTTTTTGGCGGTAATGGCTGCTAAGGAACCATAATGTTGCGTTCCAAGCATTTTTACCCTCGAACCTTGTTTCTGACTCAACAAACTGCTGACCATTAGGCAGGCTGCCGTCAGAAGCATGCCAGCGCTTCATTTTCACTTGTGCTTTATGGATTACCTCGGGAACGGTTGTGTTATCTGCATCGAGTGTGAGTCTCTTATCATTCTTCTGTGCAACAAATTTTTGCAGAACACGGGGCTACTGTTCATGGCTTCACTGATGATTGCCACTGCCATCGAGTCTAGCGACCTGCACGAACGGCTCGCCTTCAAGTGCCTCCTCACTGTCGGCACCAGCGAGGGAAGGTCGGTTAGAAGTTCACTTCTCTGCAGAGTTGCATGCACACGCATAAGCGAGTGCTAAAGACTATCACCAATACGCCTAAAGACTGGCAGAGTAACCTCCAAAAAAGTCAACTTCTCACTAATTAATCAAGGTGGAAAAGAGTTTTCAACGAATAAGCTAGTAGCCTAAGTTGATTGAGATTTCTATGCTTGAACGGAGACATGGATCCCTCCGTCTATTGTTTTTCTCGCCCGCATAGTGGCCACACAGAAAAGCTGAAACACCGAACGGGTAATATTGCTTATTGGGGGTGCGCCGACCCGCGGCGTCCTGTAGTGGCGGCGGCGCCTGTCTGCGAGGCGCATGGGGCGGTTCGTTCATCTGTGATATTGAAGTGTAAGGGTACAACGCACCCAAGCGCTCTAGGCACGCCAATGTGGGCTTCGGCCTTGACGTCTCGTCCGCCATATATCACCAACTCTTAGAATATGCCACCCGCATCAGAGGATTTCGTTCCTTCATTTAGTCAACGCCGTGTTCACAGTGACATTTGCTGATTGGCTTCCCTTCTGATACACTCATTGTATAGCCGGAATCTATGTGTCTCGTTTTCTGTAGATACTGAGAATTTTCCTGCGTAGACGTGGCGGGATGGACTTTAGTCTCGCAGCTTTAACGAGCACTGACGAGAATCTTTTGTATATACTCAAATTTTTCGCTTTATCGGGCAGCTCACGACTGTACAGGTGGCGCATTGCTACGGTTCTTTCAACGTGCAAATAGTCACCTAGTATGCACTCCCTTGAGGTGACCGTTTGATTATCAGAAGCATAGATGTTATGATACAATCGCCCTACGCACTCGACTGCTATACCGTCGTTTAAATGTTCCGATGAGGTGAACATCACGGTGATTTAAATATGCTATGACCAATGCACCAGTGTCAGTATTCATCGGCATCAGTGACATTGCGTTTTAGATTGTTTGAATAGTGACTGACAGTTACCATCGGCTTGTGATGGGTAAATGATGGCATAGTCGGCTAGTGCTGCCTGTAACAATTGTCAATGAATGCTGGCGTTGACTAAGCGATGATTATGTCGACTTGTGCTGCCATACCTTGGCTAAAAGATTGAATTACATGTTTACGCCTTATGTATCACTCATGAGTGAGATTCGGAGCTTAATTTTTTCTTCTATCCGTGCGCCAGGGTTTTGCTGGGCCTGATGTCCATCACGGTGTTCATGTCCATGTGGATGCCAAACACGGCCGTGGCCACCATCATGGGGCCCATGGCCATCGCCCTCGCTGCCAAAATGGTCGTGCCGTCTTACCACCAGGTGCCAACAAACGAGTGTAAGTCTCACATCGCACGTGTGCACTTTTAGTACTTGTCACTTCGCTCACCTACGCTCACATGCTTAGCACCTTCGTGTGTGCGTGTCTGTGTCTTGCCTTGTATGTCCACGGCAGAACGTGCGCTGCTTGAAGTGTGCGGAAGCGCTTGTTCCAGTCGCAGGTTCGTGCTCGCATTCTCACATTGGTAACGGTCGTGTCGTGGGGTTTTCTGTATCCATGATGCAGCATATAGAACGGTGGCCGTATAGTCGCCAGTCATAGAGCTTATGCGCGCGTTACGGGCGTGCCCCGAAATATGTGAGCGAACCTGGCTTCTTCTGTTTAGGCACCGGTGACGTGAGCGCCAGCAGCTGCACTTGTAAGCTCTTCTCCTGCTTAGCAGAGCTCGGGTGCTGAGTCACGGTGGTGGGTCAAGCTAACCGCCAGTTTACGAGAATATTTACTGGCTATTAGCTTGGAACTTGGCGGGGCTTGTTAAACTCACATGAGCACAGCTGAAGTAATCATTTTATCTTAGCCCTGTGTTTCAACAGGTTTCAAAGAGGTTTCGAGTGGTCTCATGATGATGATAACTAGTGCGATGACGTCGAGTGTGACGCTTAGGAACAAATAAAGCTAGCTAAGGACACGAAATAAAAATTGTGCGCATTGAATGGAAATCATTAACACACTAGGATTATCCCAACGTTTTTCTTGTTATTTTAGCAATTGCTGATATTAGGGTGTTTTTAATTTACTTTACGCTTTTACCACAGGTTTTAAGCAGAATGGCGACGCTGGTGGCTGATCACTTCGAAGTCGGGATCGGCGCCGACCCTAGGTGAGTCACCAGTTACAATAATAAACGAATGAGTCTACCTATCACAATGTATGAAAGCCCTCAGAAACAGTCATGACAAGTCGATGCATATATTGGTATTGTCTCTGAGCCGGCAGTGGAGGTGATGCTTTCAGACTAGTTATCGTACATGGTGTGCGATTCTAAGTATGTTGTAGGCTTGTTTCAATAGAAAGGTTCATTACCAGCCTCAGCATGACATCTGCTATAGTCAACATTAGCGAATTAAATAACTTGCGAACTGCGCTAGCTTCCTGTGTGTACAGCGTGAACATTTGAGTGTCTCAAAGCTGCCGCATTTGTGCCATCTTTTCTTTCTCTATTCTATCGTTTCAATGTATCCCTATGGTCGGGAGGCAAATGTTTTGTTGCATGTGAACTAGCACGCGTAATGGATATCCCTGCAACATTGTATGTGTTCTGTGTGCACACGTGGCTCCAGAAGTCGATGAAACATTTTGCTCAAATAGCAGCGCTACCGCGAAAAAAAAAATAGAAACACAAATGCGTGCTATGAATCCTGGTGCTATAGCGCGTGTAAATAAAACTAACGTTTACGACAGTGTTCTTTTTTGTTCTTTTTTAAATGCGGAGCATTTCTTAGTCGCATGATATCACGCGTCGTACGTCGGCAGTGATGTCCGCAACCTCACTGTGCATGCTCGCGTCTCGCGTATCGTGCCGCAAGCTTGCGTCTCGTGCCAACCGTTTCTTGCCCCCCCCCCCCCCCTCTTCTCTCGCCTCGCAAGGCCGACGCAGTCATCGTCTGCTAGTACAAAACCGACCGCTCGAGCTGCACAACCCTTCACTGACCACCCCGTATATGTAGGCACTGGGTCGCACATCAGCGTCCCACCAGTCCTTGAAGGAAACGCTTCTCATTCATTCAGTAATTACGAATAATAAAGACAAAATAACAATAAGCATTCCGAAGCCATACCTAATTACGCAAAATTCACGTGATACCCCCCCCCCCCCACTCTGCGACGGGTGTACTCGTGTTCGCCCCGTGGGAAGATGCGGGCGGCATATTTTTATATATGTACGCGCGTGTACGCAATCAAGGATTGAGATTGAAATGTGTTCTCGTTGTATTGGAATACTGCTCTTCAATTTGGCTTGTCTCTTTGAGACTACAGCTATTGCTTACTATATCGCGACATTCGTCCCTGTTTTTTTTTTCTATTTCATCAGCGGAGCATTGATAAAGAAGAACCACGATCTCCTCAAGAAGATATTGCTGCTTTCGATCGCATACTCGTCAAACATTGGCGGCACCGGCTCCATAATTGGCTCGTCGACCAACATACTCTTCAAGGGCATTATCGACGAGTGAGTGTTAATATCCAACCGTCCATCTGACAGATGGATGAGTGGGAAATGATAAAATGCAATCTCAGATTGCCTGACGCTGCTATTGTTTATCCACCTTGTGACGCACGCTGAAGGAAAATGATGACTTCGATCTCTGTGTTGCTTACGAGGTGCAAGATCAATGACGTAAAAATAAAATACGAGCTTGTTCTACCACGCGCAACGATCAAGTCTGGCACGTGCCGTTCGGGTGTCATTCGTAAATCTTTTCACTGTTGTGTTGTGTGTATAGCTTCATCGGCGTCCAAAATAAGGACATCGAATAAGTAAAAACAATGCAATGTAAACTGGCGGATTGCACCCCTCTTCTGTTTTTTTTTCTACTCTGTTAACAGCCAGGGTTTACTTGTACTGATTGACTAGCCTTTCTTTTAGAGCTCATTTTATAGACCAATGAGACGCACGTTATCGACGTCGCATTGCATGTAGCTCACATGGCATTTCGTTAGTGACATCTCATGCTGCTGCGTATAACAGTGATGGATAGAAGCAAGAATAAAAGAAAGAAGGTTGGTATACGTTGACCAGAACAGCGCCTGGTTGGCTGCTTTGAGCTGGGGTAATGGGAAAGAGGAAGAAAGAGATGAAGGATATATAAGGGTAAGATGAGATGGCATAAGTGTGCGGACGCGCCCTAACGGTCTCACTCAAAGACGACCGCGCGGTCTAGCCGCCCCCTATTGGGACGTCATGATATATGTGCTCACTGAAACGCTGTGAGGGGAAATTGGTTCGTATGTACACGGTCGTCCTTTATTAAAGGGAACACGTGAGCGCGTGGCCTGTGCTCTGTGGCTGCAGCTACCTACAGCGCCATCAACCGACAGCTGAAGAAAGCACGTCCATTCTTGGCTGCACCGTCTATTGTCAGAACAAAACGGCAGTGTTATCTAGCCGTGCTTGTTCAATGGCCGTGACTCGTTGTTTTCTCTACCAATACATGTCGCCAAAAGCTGCCGTGCTTTTTTTTGTCTGTCGGATGATCGCGCTGTAACCAGCCGCAGAGCGCAAGCCACGTGCTCGTTCGTTCCTGTTAATAAAGGACCACGGTGTACATGATACATATATCGACACGTGCTTATTTTAACAGTCGTTAGTTTTTTTCTTCACTGCATTCCATTTTTTCTGAACAGAAATGGAGGTTCTAGATAGCTTTTCTGGAACTGAAAACACCGCGTTAATATCATATCTCTTGCCAATCTCACTCAAGCCAGGGGAAATATTATGGACATATGGCCGCCGCAGCATTATGACTACACTGCAGCAATCGATAGCTTATAACGTAATTTTTTTCCTAAGCACTGGTGTCGGGATGATTTTCATTTTTGATGCATTTCAACAGCCTCACTTCTTTTCTCGGCAGTCAAAAAACTTGCAATCTGCTTGACTAACGTGTTATCAACTGACGTGTTAGAATTTTCGTATGGATTAGCACGTGTTCCTAAACGATATCTTATACTTTCTTATGCGCTTGTGTGCTACGCCTGGCACTGGTTTCCCGTTTCGCTTATTCAAAATAAATCTTCCTGTGTCTAGATAGCGCTCATTCCGCGCCCTCTGTATTCCTTGCGTCTCGCAAAGGGATAGTTTGGCTTGTCGGAATGCTTGCGTGATTTGCACTGCTTCAATCATGCTAGCATTCCGACAAGCGAAACTTTCTGTTCTACTGCAATTCGGTTCCCATACCAGACCTCATTATTGGATCAATTCCACTCTCACGCAAGCATGACGCTCTTTCTCTAACGTTGTTTTTTTTTTTTTTTCACCAAGGCTTTTTCCTCATTCCACGGAGCTCACATCAGCCACTTGGATGCTCTACAACGTTCCGCCTATGATTGTTTGCACCGCCATCGGCTGGATTTACCTCTGGCTTGTCATCAGAATTAGCAGGTAATTGAGACAAAAATCTTGCTTTTACTTCGAGTCTGATTTGGAATATGAGGGAAATTTCTTATAGCATTACGAAACGCAGTGTTTCCTGCTCACCCTTCTTACGGCGCCGTCAAGCCGAACATTAATTCGAATATTTTCATGGTTTATGCAACATAAATTTTGCTCTTTCGTTTGGTGCAGCGCTTTCGTGGCTTAAATTGGTTAAATTGTCGATGGCACTATGTACGAGCAGGATAATTTAGACGATAAAGGAATGAACAAACGAACACCCCAGAAAGAAAGGTAGTGTTTTCATAATAATTCCTGCAGTTACAGGGTGGTTTTAGCTGTGGTCAAGAATGTAAGTAGTGTTTTCTTGGAGGAATTGTTCACTGCTCCAAATCGCTAATAGCACGCTGTAGTTATCTACTTATAGTTACAAACTCGCAAACCTAAATTAGCTTGTTAACGCCTGCGTGGTAGGTCATTAAAATCTTACTCACAGGGCTAACTGGCGTGAACGTACATTAAGAACTATCGCTGTAACCAGGAGCACCCATATGTAGAACGCGTGTTCGCGACGGGTATGACAACGTGCTTCAAGTTTCATGATCGCAATACGTACATCCATGTTCCAGGAGAAAGGCTCACTGCCTGGAGGCCAAGAACGACATCCGGCGGGAAATCCAGCAACAGTACAAGAGGCTGGGCTCCAGTCAGCTTCGCCGAATACACTGTGCTCATCATACTCGCCGCTGTGATACTCGTGCTGTTTTTTTACAAGCCGCACTTCATGACGGGATGGGGGGATCTCATCAAGTACGGAAGGTGAGTGCTACGTGATGTCTACCTCCTCAACGCGGGCTTCATTTGTGGCTGCTCGTTTTCGATCATATACACAGTGAAACATCACATTAACGAGCTTCAAGGGAGCCCATAAAAAAGTCCTACTACAGTTAAAAGCTCGCTAAATTGAAATAGCTATGTTTACTTCTTATTGAAAGCTAATTACAACATCGCTTGTGAAAAGGAGATTCGGACCCTTCTATTTCGAATGCTGCTAATTGTAATGTGACTATCTGCTTGATTAGCATGAGTTGAAGATGCCGTAGTTCCTTTGCCGCACCTGTTCACTTAGGACTGCGCTAGTCATGAACTGAGCCACTGTGTTCAAGCTCTGATGAACGTTCTCGGGCATAATACTCTGGTAGGCTGTGGAGGACTTCACTTCTGCCAAGTACAATCGGCGTCAAATGAAATACGAAGAGCGGGACGCGTGCCGCAAGAAATACAGAAGGTGCAGAGTGCACCCTCCAGAAACCTCCCTAGACAGGTCCCTCCGCACATCAGGTTCCCTAGAGTCCGATATAATCGTCTCGTTTCTCATTGTGATATTCGAAACGAACACAACAAAAATAAAAGAAAATTAATTAAAGTGCAATGTCAAAAAGTGCCTGGTACGCCTACGCCATCGTCTATGAGCACCATATCGGAGCTGGAACGCGAGCAGAAATATTGCATTGCAAATACAGTGCTGCCAAACCGGCTGTTCGCACCTGTTAGTTATGATGACTGGACGGAATGCACTATACCGTCGCTTGGGCCACGCGTTCCTCTCTTGGCGTTTCATTTGATGCCGGTAGTACATAGTTGCTCCCCTAAGTGAAATTCTTGGTACTTACTCTACAAGGATCCCTTCCTCCTCCTGCGCATCCTCTTCGTTTTTCTGAGGTAGGGCGCTCGCTACAATTTTAGAGGCAAAACTACCTAAAGCGGCACCCGTTCGTCCCTCGTAGTAGTGCGTAACATGTCTTACGCTTTGACCTGCAAGGTGGTGCCGGTGGGATATTTCTCCTGTGCGTTGTTGAACAATAAGAAATTCGCAGCGTGCGCGTTAACCAAAAGCTGAATTCTCCTGTCTCTCATTCCCCATTAGCAGCTACTGGCATGTACATTAAGCACTATCCGACAAGAAAGAGTTGCTACGTTATACTCGCTGGGCGTAACCTCATTGGTTTTAGAAAGGTTTAGCGAGCGTTGGGCCCCAGTGTCATGAATACAGTGAACTAGTATATGCCATGAACTCGAGGTGGTTAAAGGTGGGAAGTAGACACGAAGCGCAAACCGTAAGAAAGTGTGCGTGTGCCATATCTCGTTTACTCCATGGAATGTCCGCTTGATGGCGGTGCTTCTATATGCGGAATGTATGATGAAAAGATGCGAGATGGTGGTACTTGGAGTGTTGAATAGATGAACGAATGGACACACAGACAGGTGCGTGGACGGACGCATGGATGGCTGCAAGGACGGATGGACGCATGGACGGATGCAGGGGCGGATGGGATGTACGCGCGGATGGACGTGCGGACGCACGAACGCACGAACAGACGCACGCACGGATGGCCATACACAGACGAAGGCATGGACGGACGGAAGGAAAAACGAATGGACGGACGGATGCTTGCCCCACTCTCCATCATTCACCCCGTGGATATGCTGCCATTGTTTTCTTTTACAGTGTGGGGCATGTCTCAACGCGAGAGTCGCATGTTACGTAGTTTTCAAGAGCCAAAGCTTCGTGTGGCGCGCTGTTGGCGGAACTACTCGCAGAGGCCACGGTTGAGCTATGGTACGGAATGCGTGATTTAACTTGTGATCAGTAGGACTGGGGAGGCTTTGAATATAGTCACAGAATACATTCGCACGACCGAAATGCACTATGTACTACATTTAGTTGAACTGAAATATGGTAGCATCGGGTCCAATGGCGCTTCGGCGGGCTTTAAAAAAAGTCCTTGGAGCCTAATGCTGAAGAAGAAACAGAGCAAAAACGAGACGAAGAAAGAATAAACACGCAACAGGTGCCCTCAGTATCATGTGCCAACACGCCAATCAAGACGCCTACCTGCAACTAAATGGTTAATTAACTGACGTTGGTTAAAATGATATTTACTGTACATACTTGCGTCTGGTACCAGTTAAAATAAGGTTGAGCAGTTAGGAACATGCAGCTGCAAGCCGATCCACATCGTGTATTGTAACCTAACGTCTGGGTACAAAATGTGCAGCATACATAATGAGTCTGTACTGATTGACGCCTTTCAACTTAAGTGATACAATCAGAAACGAGCAAACTTTTTGTATTAGAGTTCCCTCGGAGCTTAGCTTATTGTGGCTTTAATTCCTGGGGCATTCCACTTTCACGAATACGAGAAATAACTAGCTGCTCGATGTGATCCGCTCTACAGAGAATCGAGTCGTGCTCACAATGCGCAGCCTTGATATTCATAGCGTAAATCTACGCGCACCGTAGACAAAGCTGCTAACCATCAATGAACCATGACAGCCGATTCGTGGAGCTCTGAAAGAGCATTTGAGGAACAGTAGATCCCGTAAGGACGAATGTTATCTTACACTCTTGCGTTAACGTACCTGCAAAGAATTGCTGGCACGAGGTTACCCAGCAATTAGTGTAACCTCAGTTTTAAAAGGCGCCTTAAGGGACGCAATAATAATAATAATAATAATAATAATAATAATAATAATAATAATAATAATAATAATAATAATAATAATAATAATAATAATAACAATATGGGGTTTTACGTTCCAAAATCATCATATGGTTATGAGAGATGCTGTAGCGGAGGGCTCTGGCAATTTTGACGTTCTGGTGTTCTTTTAACGTGCACTAACATCGCACAGTAGATGGGCCTATACCGTTTCGTCTCTACCGAAATGCGGCCGCCGCGGCTGGTATCGAAGCCGCGACTTTCGGCTCAACAGCGGGGCACCGTAACCGCTTCACACCGTGGCGGAAGTGAAGCGTGGTGGAAGGGAGACTGCCGATATGTGCCGACATGGTCATCATGTGTTTGGCGAACTATCATTGCAAAGTGAAATTCATTTTGCTGTTAAACGCACTTTTACGAGGCCGAAGTTCAGCGGAAGCTTGAAGTGATTAAAAAAAAACTGCATATCCACGGAGTGCATGGTGATGAGTGGGGTGAAGCGTCCGTCCGTCCGTTTGTTCCTGCTTCCGTCCATCCGTGCGTCCATCTGTGCGACCGTCCCTACGTCCACCCATTTGTCCGTTCGTGCTCGTTCATCTCTGCGTTCGTCCGCGTGACCGTCCCTCTATCCATGCGTCCATCCGTGCATCTGTCTGTCTGTCCGTCCATCGATCCGTCCGTCCATATAATGAACACTCCAAGTACCACCATCTTGCATCTTTTCATCATATATTCAGCATATAGAAGTACCGGCGTCCAGCAGACATTCCAAGGACTAAATGGGAGGTCGCACTCGCGCACTTTCTTGCGGCCTGCGCTTCGTGTCTACTTCCCACCTTCACCACAACCGGTTCATGGCTATATACTAGTTCAGTATATTCATGGCACTGCGGCCCAACCCTCGCTAAACCTTTACAAAACCAAGGAGATTACGCCCGGCGAGTTTAACGTAACAACGCTTTCTGGTCAGATAGAGCTCAAAGTGCGTCCTTCTGATTACTAGTTTTTTTTTGTAAGCATCAACTTCAAGGCAAATTTTATTATAGATTAAGTCAACAATACTTATCTCTGTAAGTTATTTCATCAAAAAAAAACTATTGTTTAATGTGCGCGGGTTCCCTCCTAAATGGAAAAGGATGCGGACGTGCCGCTCCTCTAGTCCGGTCGTAGAAGTGGCTGCCTACTACTACGACGACTACTAAATACATCGCGGACGCACGACCCACGACATAGGAAGCTTCGGCCCCGAAATTCTCAAAACGCGCGGCGTTGCTGAAGCCGGCGATTTGACACCTGGTGTTGTCTTCAACACCACGTGCAGGGATGGATTAACAGTGCAGAGGGCTTGGTTCAAAAAAAAAAAAAATGAGGGCGGCCCTTCGCCACAACCCTTTTGTTTCCCGGTTCGTCACCTGCTCATGCTTGAGACTTGATGCTTTTAGAATTTAGGTGCAAAGAACACAACCCATATTTATTTTAAGCCTCTCTGGAGTGTTCAATATCGCCTGGGTGTCTTCTTTCTTACAGCACACGAAGTTTCTTCAACCGAACACTGCGTCATAAGATCCGTGCTGCCTCGTGGATTTTTGAGCGTGGCATTGGTGTTATGTGATCTCGAACAAGCTGCGCGCATCCGGCCGGCTCGGAGAAACATGTTCACCTGAGACTCCCGTGGTTGCATGTGCCATGCCGGGTATTGCGTAAATGATGTTAAAAAAAAAGATGTTCGATTGAAGACTCCCACGACAACGCTCACGCGATTGCGGCGAAGGTCTGCTCAGACTCTGCTGGCAGTCAGATAGTGGATAGCACGGATGCTCAAACTTGTACCCTATACATTTGTCCATTGTGTTTCATAGATTTCGTGCTGGCGTTTCTTTCCCTCGCAGTATTCATGACTAGACAGTTTGTGATGAATAGCAACACTTCAACTCTCCAGAGAGAAAAATACCCGCATAGAAAAATTTAAATGACCATTGCTTAATAAAGGTTGTGCACAGGAAACATCTACAACATATATCCACTATCTGACCGCCAGCAGACCCTCACCGCAATCGCATGAGCGTTGTGGTGGGAGTCTTCAATGTACCCTCTCTTTTCAACTTAATTGACGCCATACCCGGCATGGCGCATGCAACCACGGGCGTCTCAGGTGAACATGATGTTTCTCCGAGCCGACTGGATGCGCGCCAGCTTGTTCGAGATCACATAACAGCGATGCCACGCTCGAAGATCCACGAGGCAGCACGGATCTTATGACGCATTTTTCGGTAACAAAAATTTCGCGTGCTGTGAGAAAGAAGACGCCCAGGTGACATTGAACACTCCGGAGAGGCTTAAAATAAATATGGGTTTTGTTTTTTGCAGCTGAATCTAAAAAGCGTCAAGTCTCAAGCACGATCAGATGGCAGAGTGGAGAAACAAAAGGGTTGGGGCGAAGGGCCCCCCTTATTTTGTAGCGTTAGCTACACTGGCCTCGCTGAAGCCGATTTCGCGTGGCACTGGTCTGCGCATGCGCAGTGATACTCCGCCGCCGCCGCCGCGCGTGGCTCGCCACCGGTGTGCGCGCAATTCGATGCGCTGCGCAGACGATCAGTGGTGTCACGCATTGGAGCCGGCACCTCCCTCGCACTCGGCCGCGGGCGACTGGCTGCCGCCGGTGTGCGCTTTCCAGAGGAGTGCCGTCATAGCCTTGGTAGACATATGGACGCCGACGCGCGCGCCTTCCCTGTGCAGTCGCCATCTGACACTGCGCTGGAGCCGCTTGATAGCGCCTCTGACTGGCGCTTGCCACTGTGGTATAGCCATGGAAAAAGTAGAGTGCAAATGCTGCTCAACGGTGCAGTACAGCGGAGAAGCTTAACTCATCGGATCCCGAAGTAGTTGCCCGGCAAAATAAATATAAATGTGCCACATAATACGTATACCGTGTCTGTGTGTCATTGGAACAGCTGTAAGCATGATATCTGGAAAGCTAAGAATAATCAGCTGAACCTTTGCTAACGCTACGTATATCCTGGCATAGCTGAGCTAAGCCACTGCCATTTTTTTTTTTTTGAACCGGGTCATCTGCATTGTTATTCTGGCCCGGTGCCGGGTGGATATTCTTAGGATGGCAGCAGTTCTTTTTATATATCTTGTGGAAGTGCTGTCCGTCGCAGTGGTTTAGTGATTACGATGTTGCACTGATGACCATGAAATCACGGATTCGATGCCGGCCTTGGCGCTCGCAGTTCGGTGCTGGCGAAATGATAGAGCCTGGTGTACTGTGCGATGTCAGTGCTTGCTGAAGTACACCAGACGGTCAAAATTTCCAAAGTCCTCCCTTACGGCTCACCTCATAGTCATATCGCTTTCGGCACGTACACGCAATGTATTGGTAATAATATATTAATCAGTGGATGCTCTATTTGAACGGCATTTCTCCAATAAAGGGCATCGTTTCCTTTTTTTTTGTCCGTGTAGCAAAATCAAGTCTTCCAGTCCGGCGCTTGCCATCTGCTTCCTGCTCTTCGTCCTGCCCAAGGACCCGCGCAACTTGCATTGCAGCGAACCACTGGTCTCATTCAAGGACTTCTCGACCAAAATGCCGTGGGGCATCGTCATACTTTTCGGTGGATGCCTCTCCATTGCCGAGGCTTCACAGGTACACACATGCCTTGCCCCTCTCCCCTACTCGAGTATCACTTTAATGCGCAGTTTTAAACAAAGTATGCTTTTATCTCAAAAACGCAACCTCGAAGTGAAATGTCAGCCTAATAACCAATCAATATCATGTGTCGGTGGACATTCTCTGCTTACATCTTCTCTCGAACACGTACTTTCAAACACGTACTACTCTCAAACAGGTGTTTTTTTTTACCAAACTTTCACAAAAAAGTGAGGCTGCAAGTAAGCGGGGTTCTCGAATGCTTCTAATCGTTTACCGTTTGTTTATTATGATTAGGGCACCAAGCTACCATCTGAAATAAAAGTCGACTTATTTCAAACGTGTGTACAGGCCTATAGAACCTTATTGTTCAAATTACAATATTCAGTGAAATAAGACAAACAGGCAGTCACTTTCGAGAGAATGCAATAAGGTAAAGCTCTCGGGCTTGTTGTCCTCAAGACTGTGTATGGTTTCTTCTAACTAGAAACAAAATATTATACGCGACTTGAAGAAACACACATCCCAAGCCACCGTTTGTACTACGAAACTGTGAGAGAAATTTTTATGAAATGTAATTTTTTTAGAAAGAAGGCATCGGGGAAAAAATTAAGTTTGTGACGGTGCGCATCTGCTTCAGGGGCCGAATTCACAAAACGTTTCTTTCGTAACTTCGTCCTGCCATTGGTAAGCCGCCTTCGATAATGATGTCTCCAGCGTTGTGATTGGCTGAAATATTATCTTACGAAAATTCTTAGCGCAGAAAACGTTTTTGTGTATTCAGGTGTTGTTTTTGACAGGGAAGCTCTGGCTCGTGGATGGCAAATCTTCCGCAATCAATACTTTCGCAAAGCTTATTTGCCACAAGGCATGACGCGTTGTCATTTTGCGAAAATAAATTGTAGTGCAGGTGTCGTCACGCCCTACAGTGAAAGCGTTAAGAACGGTGCGGTAAAGTGAAGGGGGGCGTGGGGGGTCGCTTATTCGTATTTACCACCTCGCGGTCTTGATCTATTACGGTAAGTGTGAGGCACGGATTCGCGGTTACGTTGTTTCTAATACTCTGCTCTCTCCCTTCCAGAATGCGGGATATAGCAGCGGAGAAATGCGTTGCCATACTATCACCTAACTGTAAACGTAACCGCTTTGTCGATATATATACATATATATATATATATATATATATATATATATATATATATATATATATATATATATATATATATATATATATATATATATATTCCTGCTCACGGCTGGTTGTTTTTTTCATCCACTTTTCTTTTTCTTATTTACATTTGGTTCTAATAACTTCCCCTGTACATTCCTTGGCATTACTGTCTGTTAGATCTCATTAATATTGTGTTAAAACACGGAAAAACGAGCCCTTAGGTATACACCTCTTACCCTTATTTTATTTATATATATATATATATATATATATATATATATATATATATATATATATATATATATATACACATTCAGTGGGTCTGGTACGTATAAGAAAAGAAGCTTGTACACGTACGAGAAAGCAAGCAGTTTTCTCGTACGTGTACCAGCTTCATTTCGTTTATATATATATATATATATATATATATAGGGAGAGCGTAAATTGATAAGAAAGAGTATGAAGCACCCTAAGCGCCCGTATCTACTCACACAGTACATGGTTTCTATACTTGCAACCTCGAACCTTATCGATCGATCGGTTTTATTGCTCGGTGACTTTTATTTTCGCTAGATTTGCATGTTCGCAGCAACGGCCAACGCTTTCTTATACTAGCCACATTTAGGTGAAAGCGATAAAGTTAGGCCAAGTCGATTTGTCGGAGCCAGCGTCAAACGGGTTTCAATCAACTCCACTGTAAGGCATTGACGATTAACTGAAGCCCGTTGGATGCATCCAGATGTAGTCGTTACTTTGTGTTTCAGGCTGACGTTTGACTCGTCCTGTCCGTGTAAGCTAAACAGCTCTGTGTGCCTTCCTTCCTCTGCAGCGTTCCGGCCTGTCGGCCATTGTGATAGATACGCTGAATGGTCTTCGAGACCTTCCCTCGGGCCTGGTGCTGGTGCTGCTCTGCTTCAGCGGCTGCTTTCTCACCGAAGTTGTCAGCACGTACGTGGTCACCGGAATCCTCACGCCCATCATCAGTGAACTGGTTAGTGGAAAACGATCTTCGCCGAACGTCAGCGTTTTCATGGTTAACTATTCAATTTGACTATAGCTCGCACGTGATATGTTGTTATCTACGTGTAACGCGATACCTGTTTTGAATACGGATACGTGGTAAGCTATCGCGGCCGCTCTCATCGCAAGCCAGCGATCACAGCGACTAGTGGATTCCGGTTAAGCTCGGCCTGCTCATGAGCGAACCTTTTCAATTCTAACAGGACAGCTTGCTAACAAACGTCTCTTGCTTTTTTCTTTTCTGCTGTAACAAAAATGTGCAGGATATTGTACGGTCAGAACGCCGTTACGAATCACCACAAAAGAGAAACATAATTAGGTATTAACAGAAATCCATATAAGTAATTAAACTGAGGTATCGGAAAAGTTCTACAAAGTGCTGCGCAGTACAAAAAACCTCTCCCAAGCTAAAATTACCCCCCCCCCCCCCCCCCAACTTTTGAAATGCACTAAGCAGTACATGGGAACTGCAACATCATGGCGAAAAGTACACTGCAATATGAATTTAAAAGTAATATATGCAGACCGTGCTTGTGCGAAACTTATTATATTTATTCGCCCAACACTAGCATGCTTTAATGTGTTTAGTACTAACCGTCGTTACCTATCGTCGGGCGTGCGCTATCGCATTATAATAAAAATAATACATGTGTGCTAATTTGGCCCTGCCTTGCTTCAATTTTAACCACCAGTTTTAATTTATTTGACCTGGTCGCGAATGTGAGTTCTTATTAACGGCTGCGCATAACGTACTACACAGAAAAGCTCTTCGTCGCAGCCATTACGCAACGCACCGTCAAGCACCGTGTTTTAATGTGACTGCGCGCCTACGGACCGCATCGTGGTAGCTGTTGAAACGCCGTATTTACGGAAGAGAGCGATCGATCGCACCCGTTGCGCTCCAGGGTGTAGCGTCTGGAACACAGTCTCCCGCTGTCGACGGGCTCGGAGGCCGGCTGACACGGCGTACCGTTTACGAGAGACAACGCGCTGCGGCGCCACTCACTTGCTGTCGAGGCATCACGGCAGCTTTTCGCCTCAGTGAATCGAAACATTGTAAAGAAGTACGACTATGTTTAGTTCGTAAACGACAACTCATTTTGCGAGCGTAGGTGCAGTAATTGTACAAATTTTCACATAGCCAGCCGTGGTCGCTGAGCGACTCAGGAGCTGTGGCGCGCTGCTCGGGGACCCAGGTTCGAGTGCCGGTGACGACGGCCGTATAACAGATGTGGGCGAGATGTAGAAACGCCCGCGTGCTTCGATTTGGAACACTTAGAAAAACCCCACGGAAATCTTCAAAACTATTCCGCTATCCGCCGCCTTATAGTTATGCTGGCTTTTTCAGTACAAAATATACGTACTTTACACTTCTAGTAGTTTAATAAACCAACAAACTTTGAAACTAAGAAATGTCTAAAGAATTCACTTCTTTGTTTAAAATGTAGACACGGTAATTACGGCACACTGATTGATGGTATAGTATTGTAATAGTATAGTACAGTAATTAAGACACATTGATTTCTCATCCACTTTATAGCTTTCCATTTATGTCAGAACTACTACACTACACCTAAGCATGCAAGCATTAACTCCTGTGTCTTCTTTAGCTTCATTGTTTTTTGGTTTCATTAGGTCGTGTCCAACTAAAAAAAAAGACCCTTCAATCAATACCTCCTCTTTCTTTAGAGTTCTATAAGAGTAGGTTCAAGGGTAGCAGTTTTTGTAATGCCCGCCCTTATTATTATTATTATTATCATCATCATCACCACACCACCATCATCATCACCATTATTATTATTATTATTATTATTATTATTATTATTATTATTATTATTATTATTATTATTATTATTATTATTTGACGCTACCGCAAATGGTACGAATAGTCTCTCATGCTTCTATATATAAGAATGATGGTCGCTTGTTTAAAGTTTATGCTTCAGATAGCGTACGATACAGGAGGAGCCAGGTGATTCAGGTTTTGCGTCACAGCCGGTGTTTTCTTTCCCTGCAGGCTGTGGCGACACGTGTACACCCGCTGTACTTCCTGATGCCAGTCAAAGCGTGCTGCTTGTTCGCATTCATGCTGCCGATCGCTACTGGAGCCAACGCCATCCTGTGCGATATGGGAAGGCTAAGGACCATAGACATGGTATGCAATCTGGGGTCATTGCGGTGCTTGTTATAATACTGATTGTTGGCCTGATGCCATTAAGTGCTTGTTATAAGTGCATAAGTGCATAAGTGCATAAGTGCATAAGTGCATAAGTGCATAAGTGCATAATACTGATGCCATTAAGTGCTTGTTATACGCGAGCTGCCTATGGCGCGGGCCGTTTAAGCAAAGAGCATCATCATCTAAGTAAGCTTTAGCTGATCAGTAGAATCACAGGACAATGCATTATTTAGTTCGTCAAAAAAGTGGCAACACGAAGTGAACACTCCTGCAAGGTCCATGCACACGTTAGGCTTTTAGACACGCAAGACCCTTCTGTCGTCTGGTATAAGTCCCCCTGCTATCTCTCCACGTCATTGCATATTATGAATCCTGTGTACTGGGGATTACCGTTACAATAGAGACTAGGTACAATGCAGAGTCAAAGCGTACGACGTAGATAGGGTGAAACTGTGAAACTGTCGGCTATTCGGTTGAACATATGGTAAGGAAAACAGTGCGAAAAAAAAGTAGGACAGAAAAAGCACACAAACTACATGTATTCCTCGTTTTTTTCTCCCTGGTCCTTACAAGGCGACATGATAAATGTAAAAGCGAATGAAAAAAATCACAGGATATCCACGGAGTGAATGATGATGAGTGGGGCAAAGCGTCCGCCCGTCCATTCGCCCGTGCATGCGTCTGATCGCGTTTGAGAATGCAGACGGGGCATGGGTAACACTGACGAGACGTGAGCCAAGGAAGCCGAGCGCAAGCGTCTTCAAAGCGTCTGCTGCTCTGCTTCGTCCATGTGCCACCAACGATCTGCCACGTACGGCGACTATCCAGGAGACTGAGAGAGTCACTTGTTCTCCGGGAACTCAGGCAAAGCGCGTGGAGCAGCCAATTGTAAAGTAGCGGCACTTAGGAGAGTAGCGGCAGAATAACGCCATCAGGGAATTGAGACGAGAAATGGTCATCTATTTCTTTTGCCTCCTTTCGCGTCTCTACTTCTCTCGGCACCGCGTGACGCCTGACAAGGTTAGACTAAAAGGAGTTTTGCCCCTAAAATATGGACACAATAAAAATTGACGAGTCATTCTATTCCGTCAAAGGAGATGGCCAGCGAGGCTATAATCATGGGTCACACAGGTGGCAGGAAAGCAGATAGCGATAGCTAGCGCTAACGCACCCTTAGCGTCCGGAAGATATTTAGGGCTTCAGGGATGCCGCCCGGGTCTTCTCCTCGGGGGTGATCTGCAGGAGGCTGCTGCCATAGAGTTTCCTAAAATTAACTAGAGGGGACTCTGGTGCTGCGATCGTTCAACAACCACGGAAATGATGGGTAGTGCACGGATTTGCCTGGTCTTCGTGCTTGCGGGCGTCGAATCGCACTTGGGGCTTCGTTTATTGCTGTGTTGTGGTTTTGTACAGATTGAAAGAATAAACCGTTATGAACTTCGTGAGCTGATTTGAAATGGTGATCCTAAAAGGTGAAGTCGGTGAAGCGTAACTGCCGAACATTTGCCGATCGCAGTTTTGTGACAAAGCAGCTCCGAGGCACGCGAAGCCAAAAATAAGGTAAAGTACGATGATTAGGCAAATTCGTGTACTACCCATAATTCCCATGCTCGCTGAAGCACCATGCGTTGCAGCTCCCATAGACACTAGCGCCAGAGTTCCTTCTAGTGTACATATAGGAAACTCTATGGCTGCCGCTATTCAGTTCAAGGGGTGTCTTACACACAATTACTGGTTTCCGGCCCACGCGGGCTCAGGGGTTAATTCATCAGTTAGTTCCCTAAATAGATGAAATTGTCCGTATTGATGTGCGAGACGTCACGCGACACGATGGTCCGTGCGGTTTCAGAGGTCGGTTTTTGGAGAGCTTCAGGGATCCACTTGGCACTTTTCACCAAGTTACTCAAGTTACTTCTCCTATCAACTGTTATAGCGGGTGTATCCCTTTCTGCATTCCAAGTTCACCAGACCACAGTGGTCTCTCTGGATGCTGCAGGCGTGTTCGTCCCTGTCTCGCATAAGACGTAAGCCCACGATTTTCTAACTGTGGGACGGAGAATTGAGAATTCGCTCACGTGCTCTAGCAGTGCCTGGCGGGACGTACCAACAGGACTGACTGAAGTCCCTTAAATGCTGTGAGCTCCCGGTCTTGCTCTCGGCTGTTCAGAAGGCCTGCGAAGGGATGGAGGGCTATGGTCTTCCAGTAGTGGTATTGGCGTGGCCAACAACTGTGGCTGATCGCCCATTGGGGTGTCTGATCAGGGTTCTCCAGGACCAAATAAAACTTATTTCACCTTTACAGAATTTCCAACCTTAACAGATCACGCACCCTGCAGCTCAGTATACGAAATATCTGTGCAGAAAGTCTCATGTACTCAGCGTATGCTGCTTCAATACTTTCCATTAGAGCAGAATGTATCTCATTGCCGTCACATGTATCACCTTATACGGGTTACCGCATACTATTTTTGTTTCATTCACGATCTAGCTTACTGTTTGCCACCCATGTATTTCATTTTTTTTAATTTAGTGGATCAGTAGAGAGTAGAGCATGGCTGATTCTTCTTCACGTCCGTGGTCGCCGGGTTTTTTGCGTGTGTAACCTGTAACCTTTACCAAGATTGGCTTGAAGCCCTGCCGCGGTAGTCTAGTGGCTAAGTTACTCGGAAGCTGACCCGCAAGTCGCGGGATGGAATCCCGGCTGCGGCGGCTGCATTTCCGATGGAGGCGGAAATGTTGTAGGCCCGTGTGCTCAGATTTCGGTGCATGTTAAAGAACCCCAGGCGGTCGAAATCTCCGGAGCCCTCCACTACGGCGTCTCTCATAATCATATGGTGTTTTTGGGACGTTCAACCCCACATATCAATCAAGCATGGCTGATTTCTGTAGCACGTGCGGTTTTGCCCGTGGACTAGGCACAACAGAATGACGTACCATAGTCTCATCCAGCTTCTGTACAATCAAAGTTTTCCTTTGTAATGCATCTCTATTGCCAGTGTTCATCACATTTGTGTTGCAGCGAAGGCGCCAGGAAAAGTGAAGAGCTTTGATTGATTGATAGATAGATAGATTGATAGATAGATAGATTGATTGATTGATATGTGGGGTTTAACGTCCTAAGACTACCATATGTATAAAAGAAAAGCCTTAGTGGAGGGCTCCAGAAATTTCGACCACTTGGGGTTCTTTAACGTGCACCCCAAATGTGAGCACACGGGCCTACAACACTTCCGTCTCCATCGAAAATGCAGTCACCGCAGCCAGGAATTGATCCTGCGGCCTGCGGGTCAGCAGCCGAGTACCTTAGCCACTAGACTACCGCGGCGGGGCAAAAGTCAAGAGCTACAACTTTAACAAGTAGCGCTTCTAAATCATCGTTATCGCTCCCTTCTTCTGCGCAGATGAAGATGGGGTTCGTCATGAACGTGGCATGCGTGCTGGTACAACTGGCCGCCATACACACGATAGGGCCACTCGTCTTCGACCTCTACCGCTTCCCTAGCTGGGCCACTAGAGACTTCGGTATCATCACTATGGTCGGCAACGACACCTTCGCATCGTCGCTCAACGCTACACTCGCTGAAGAGATGGTGTCAACGACGGTGGCGGCCATGATGACGACGTGACGTCACGTGACGGAGTGGATCACCGTGAACTGTTCCTATGGCTTCAACGCATGCGCTGTCTTGTTGTTCGAACGCGACCAGTGCGCGCTCGGTCCGTCTGTGTTCCATTGTACCGCGTGACGTGTTTGACGCCACGTCGTCTCCTCTCCCTCTGCGATGGCGTCCAGCACGGTTATGCGATGGCGTCTGGTGTTTATGTCTGATTAGCGTGCCGGAGACAGTCGGTGTTTTTAGTTTCCTTTGTGCCTATACACGTGTTTATGTGTGTACGTGATGCTGCTGGATGTCGTCAGATGAGGGATGAGGAATTCAGCGTGGCCATGCTTACCTGAGATCGTGGAAAGTCAGTGAGGGAAAGAGAATTATGTGCTAGAAAATCTGTGTTGCTTTTTTATTCCTTTCTATTATTTTTCTCTTGTCGCGTTGCTATGTCATTCCTTTTGTTCCCTTGTGGACATTTAAAAATATATATATCATCAAAGAGCTGAATGCTGCCTCAAGCAAATAACAGGGAGGATCGCGTTGTTCTCAAGTCAAGGTGAATTATGGATCGAGGTTTGAGCAGTGAGGTATCTCATGAAAAGATAAGGAATAGTAATACGTCAAATTGCATTGTATCGGTAAAGTTCTGAAGCCACCAGTATTTAGACCCAATTTAGTGATTTCAGGGGTCCGTAATCAGAGAATATTACGTAAACGGAGTGAACAGTCATGATGCAATTATCCTGCTCCGGACGGTGTGACGTCACAGTTTTGAACATGTCTAGAGACTCGCGACTGACTGAGGAAAGAACATTTTACGCCATCTTCGATTGGTCGTTTCGGAGTGCTCCAGAGCACTCTCGCGAGCGGCATTGTGTTTCGCGGGTTGAAAGTGAGCGCCCACCTCGTGGTCGGGTACTTCTTTTCGACCACGCTCCTGTCTCGCCGAGTGCTCTGAGCTGCTTCGAGCCTTTTCGGCGGAGCAGTGCGAGTGGTTCCGGTTAGGTGATCACCAGCAGCGTGGTTGCTATGGCAGCATCATGTCAAGTGATAATACCGTCTCGTATCTGCGCAACTGTGTCAGCCTGTCAAATAGAGCCTGTTTAAGCGCTAACCTGATGCCATCTCTTTTGTCAACCTACCGGAGACCATCAGCGAAAGCTACGATGTCGATGACGCCGAAAACCGTGTCCATGAACAGTAATTAGCCCAGCTCAGTGTTTCCCTGTTGATCGCTTGTTTCATCCGTGCGTCAGCCATTTTGTTTGAGAGCGTGGGAAGCTTCGGCTTGGCTTCGACACAGCTTCTACTAGAAAACGAATTTTCGCTGTAGGCACGTGGTTCTCCTGTTCGGATGCTCCTTTGGCAACGAGTTTGACGTTCTGCTCGAGTGTTTGTACTCTGCCTCAGATTGCGAGCAATGCCGGATCCGTTCACCTCCGAGCTGGAGGGCAGGGACGACCAGTTGAAGATACGATCAGTTTTACTTGTCAAAATGGACTGCGGCATGGCGAAATTTCTTTCTTTTTTTTTTTTGCCAGCAGTGTAAATCTCGAGCGAGGAACAGACATCTGAATACAAGGAAAAGATGGGTTGTCCAGATAATATTTGCACCATTCGAAATGCGGTAGCATGATAATAAACACTAAGCGTTTCTGTTGCGATTTCGTCAGTGAAGATTTACATGTCTTCCTCCGTACTCATTCTAACAGGGTTTCAACTTCTCAATGAAACCTTTCAGCCAGATCTGTCGCTCATAATTTTCTGCACTACTGTAACTTCTTTTCTGTAAAAAAAACTCTCTTCGGCACACTGCCTAAAGGGAATGCATTCGTTTATACGATAGTCACTCTACAGGAACCAATGTTTGAACATAAGAAACAATTCTGCCACCAAATATTATTTGACATATGGTTTCGGTCCCTCCACCTTTAATTAAGTCAAATAACACAAAACGTTACGTTTTTGTAAAGGGAACGAGATATTTTGATTGTAAGGGCTCTAATAATTCGATCCGCTCGGAAATTTGCCAGCTCTGTTTCTATGATGAGGTTTCGCTGTAAAAGAAAGAAGACAAAACTTGCCTATGAGCGAGGCGTTATAAACGACTGTAATTGATCACACAGAATGTACTGCAGATAAATTGTGCCACATATGTGCTCACGTGCAACGAAGGGATACATTGTGGCAACTATGCGTATTTCAACGTTTTCTTAGTTGCCGGCATCTGTTATGTCAGCAATCCTTGCCGAACTGCATATATGTTTATCTTTAGCTTTATTCCGACGTGCTGTTACCATCAATAAAAGGACATGGTGGGCATTGTTGTACTTACCGTATTTGCTACCGTGCTGATAAGCTGTACGGGTCCTTAGTTTTTTTTTGTTTAATTGCTCTATTTCTCGCCCAAAACGTGGTTGTGCAGGCTACCCTACGAGGGACGTAGAAAAGGCTGCGATATAAAGAAAAACAAAGACCACGTTTTGCATGTTTTGAAAATCGCATTGGCACGTGCTGTCCACTGTACATGGAATGTATGGAATCGAGCTCTTTTGTTTACCTATTGACTGAAGTGAGACACAGTGTGTCACAGTGAGTTTAATGCGGTGACGATGCACGTCTCACTCGCCATTGTTGTGTAAAGGAGCAGTTTACGTTAGTGCTGGTGGCTAGTTAACGGAAACTGCTCTTTCAGTTTTCTTTTTCGAAGTTCTATTGCCGCAGTTAGGCCTTTTCTTACTGCGATTAACCTCCAGAATTCACAATGGCTCCGCTCTCTTTACTCGAAGGGGCGCGCCGATCGCCAAAATGATCGACAACAGCGGCCTTCCCGTGCCACATTTGTACATACCTACTACGGGCACAGTTTTGTGCTCTTTCGCATTGCTGGCGTTTGTATGAGACTTCTGTACCCGTGTACATTTACAGAATTGCTCGTTGTATCGGGGTGCCTCCGCCCTGGCTCATCGTAATAAACGAAGGAACCAAAGAACAAAATTGCAAGCGTGGCGTTTGCTCCTTATCAGGGATATACGTCTGTGTGTCTGTCCACTTCATTTATCAAATAACTTGATTGATTGATTGATTGATTGATTGATTGATAAAATGGGGGTGTGCACAAGCGAATGAGTACACATCCATCCTGTAGGACCCTCAGTAGTGGAGTTCAGCAGGTAAGTTTTCTACAGGGCTTTCATGCACGCACATTATTAGTTGTGCTACTAGCAATGTCCCGAGCACGGGCCATCTTATGTATGGCAAAACTGCTGTCTGAATTGTTAGCTATAAATGGCAGACTCTGCCCTAGTGAGTACTTCTCATGTAAGTTTTTTTAAAGACGATATCTTAATCTTTCGTGGGGAACTTCAACGCAAAAATTTGGCCTGTCTGTCTGTCTGTACATTTGTCTGTTTATCAACTCCTAAAGGCATCGGGTACTTGAAACGGCGGACCCCATCCGCAGCTCCCACCTATGTTGCTCAAGGTTGAGCGTTCATGCTTGTGCAATTGTAAATTAAAAATAAATTATTGCGCATGTCTGGGGCACCATAACCACACGTATATATTCTGCATGTGCGTCTCTGACTAGAAAAGGCATACATAAGTAATTTTAAGGACCGTAGCGCTTATCACGCTGCGCTTACCATGCAACGATTGCACGGAAAGGCGAGTGTTTCCAATGCTTTGCTAAAACGAAACGGTGGTGGCACCTACCCGTCGCCTTGCGTTCTACACCTTATCACCTCTGAGATGGGTGCGCACACCCGTCTCAAAGCCAGGCACTTTGTTTTCTAAAACAACTGCCAGATGGCGCTTATGTCTCACGTGTGACGTGAATTGATGCGCTCGTTCGCCTCCGATGCACGCTCGAGGCACTTAACGCAGCGCCTCCAGAATACCATTCACTGATTTTCTTGCGCAGAACATCAAATAATTGTCTTGTTCATTCTCCCCACACGCAAGACTATCGTGTTTCTATGGCATTTGCAGATTGCATGCAGATACGGGGACAATTTTTTTATTGATTGATTGATATGTAGGGTTTAACGTCCCAAAACCACCATTTGATTATGAGAGACGCCGTAGTGGAGGGCTCCGGAAATTTAGACCACCTGGGGTTCTTTAACGTGCACCCAAATCTGAGCACACGGGCCTACAACATTTCCGCCTCCATCGGAAATGCAGCCGCCGCAGCCGAGAATCGAACCCGCGAAATTTTTTTTATTGTTAGGCGAGAGAGAGATTGGTTTATTTACAGAAAGGCAAAAAGGTCAGTTTGAAAATGCTAAGAATTTTTTTTGCGAGCCAAGGCAACCTTCAGTGCACCTTTGTATATAGCTGTAGGTATAGCCGCCTTTGTCTGGATACTGTCGTTAGCTAGCTATGTGGGGTTTAACGTCCTAAAACAACCTTTTGAATATGAGACACGCCGTAGCCGAGGACTCCAAAAATTTCGACAACCTGGGGTTCTTTAACGTGCACCCAGAGCATACGAGCCTACAGCATTTTCGCCTCCATCGAAAATGCAGCCGGCGTAGCCGGGATTCAATACCGCGACCCGCGGGTCAGCGGCCGAATACCTTAGCCACTAGACCACCGTAGCGGAGCAGTGATACTGTTAGGATCGCATCGTTAGCAGTGCCGTCGACCAAAGTTGTTACGAAAGGGTAAGGAAGTTTGACGAATATGACTGTATGGTCATGACATGAATAATGTTCGAACATGGTTACGCATGTAGTGAAGCCGGTTCCTCCAGAAACGTGCGGCAATACATGCATACCACGAGCCGCGGTATGCGGGTATGTGCCACACGTGTTTGACAATTGATATCTGCCGAGGAACAGATGGGAACAAACACTGGTAATTTAACTGCAAGAGCGTGAAAAAACAAAAAAAAACATCGGTACGACATCGGTATGATTGATTCGACTAATACAAAAAATAAGAGTAGGATCCCAACTGAAATCGAACCCAAGATCTCTGCAGTGACCACAGAACTATGCCAGATCAAGAAACTGCTTTGCAAAAACGTCTACGCAGGTGTGACTGCAGTGCAACGTCAATTGAGATTGTGGCTCTGGCTATCTAATTTTATAACAAAACAATAAACACTGAATATGTTAATATAATGGCGTCGGGTCAGGATAACGTCCATGGCTCTAGTGTTTGCTCTGCTTTGAACTCGATAGCATCAACCTCGGTTGATCAGTGGCTAGGTATACTCTGCTGCTGACATGAAGGACGCGAGTTCGGTCTCGGGCGTGGTGGTCGAATTTTCGTGGAGGTGAAATGGTAAAAGCCCGTGCACCACGTGGTGTCAGTGCACGTTAAAGAACACCAAATGGTCGAAATTTCCGGAGCCCTCCTTTTCAGTGTCTCTCATAATCAAATGGTGGTTTCGGGACGTAACACTCCACATAATATCAATCAACGCGATAGCGTTAAACAGCTCGTTTTGCGGGTATTTCTGGCGTCAGCATTGATGGATGTCAAAATAATTATCTTGAATGTGACTTGATAATTGATTGATAAGTGGGGTTTAACGTCCCAAAACCACCGTATGATTATAAGAGACGCCGTATAGTGGAGGGCTCCGGAAATTTCGACCACCTGGGGTTCTTTAACGTGCACCCAAATCTTAGCACATGGGCCTACAACATTTCCGCCTCCATCGGAAATGAAGCCGCCGCAGCCGG